TGAACATCCAAACATGTCCCCTGCCCTCCTGGGCCTTCCAGTTGTATAAAGGAAATAATAGTTACAGCATCACGAGCATCCTGAAAGAGGAAGTAAAGGGCACAATGGCAGCTATGGGAGGTGGAGGAAGTAGGCAGGGCAATACGTGGCATCCAGTTATAACCAGGGAGATACAGAGGCTGGGAAATTGGCAGAGCCCACCTCCACCTTCAGTCCACATGTAGACATTTTTCTTCAAAACAGGACAATGTTTTCCTGTTTTTGTCTGTCATCTTCGCCCACTTGCCCGAATGGGTAATTCAGAGGCTATCTCTGGTTGCTTTTCCCCTTTTCCAGTCTTCGGCTCCCACCTACAGACCCTTTAAAAATGAGTCTTCTTCTGATTCCCCACGAGCATTCTGTGGCTTTCAGGAAGACAGTAATTGCTGATTAAACCAAAGGTCAAAGTCTTAATAACCAAACCAATCCAAAGCAAACCACCAAACCAAACAAAAAAATTGGCCTTCCCATTGATGGAAGGTAGAAAAAAGGTGGGCATTTAGAAGCACAACGTAAAGTCTATATAAAAGGAAATTTAGTCGATTTTCTATTTAAGAAAAAAAATGTTAACGATTAGAACAAATGTTGCCACAATCTTTAGAAATGGAAACGACCTCCAATAGGGAATTGTGAATAAGTCTCCAAACATTTCAATTAAGTCTTCAAACATTTCAATTAAGTCTTCAAACATTTTTACTCATGCACATGAGATGGTATCCACTCTCCTACAAAATTTTCAATTGTCACCTAAATTTTTTCATCCTAAGTTTAAGTATTTGCAAAGGAAGCAATTTTCCACATAACGCAAAAATTTACATTTTCAAATAAAACAGTCATGCTTTTAAATGAAGCCAATGAAATCTAAATATCATAACAGTTGTGCCTACCATCAACTATTTAAAAAATATATGAACAAATTATTCTTTACCTGTAGGATATTTTACTTTTACATAATTTATTTTCTCTTCACATTTATAATTCAATTCCACATCCCATCCCTCAGGAATATATCTTAATTAATGTAGTTTTATGTTTGACTATGTTTTTTGTTTTTGTTTTTGGTTTTGAGACAGTGTCTCACGCTGTTGCCCAGGCTAGTGAAGTGATGCAATCACAGCTCACTGAAGCCTAAACCTCTCAGGCTCAAGCGATCCTCCCACCTCAGTCTCCAAAGTAGCTGGGACTGCAGGCAGGTACCTTCATGATTGGCAAATTTTTAATTTTTTTGTAAAGATAGGGTCTCACTCTGTTGCCCAGCCTGGTCTCAAATTTCTGAGCTCAAGCAATACTCCTGCCTGGGCCTCCCAAAATGCTGGGATTACAGGCCTGAGCCACCATGCCTAGTTTAATGTGTTTTATTAATCAATCTATTATATTTCACTGCAATGAAAATACATATAAAGGCCAGGTGCAGTGGCTCACAACTGTTATCCCAGCACTCTGGGGTGCCGAGGTGGGCAGATCACCTGAGGTCAGGAGTTCAAGATCAGCCTGCCTAACACGGTCAAACCCTATCTCTACTAAAAAATACAAAAATTAGCTGGGTGTGGTGGCAGGCACCTGTAATCCCAGCTACTCTAAAGGCTGAGGCAGGGAGAATAGCTTGAACCTGGGAGGCAGAGGTTGCAGTGAGCCACAATTGCGCCATTGCAATCCAGCCTGGATGACAAGAGGGAAAACTCCATCTCTCTCTCTCTCTCTCTCTCTCTCTCTATATATATATATATATATATATATATATATATATATAATATATACATATAAGTTGAAATTTTAAGTTTCTTATGACTAGTGATTGTAAGTTATTTTCTTCTAGATTGAGGCATTGTTATATTTATTAGCAATTCTCAAGTGTTCAAAACAATACAAAATATAATTTTTTATTAAACGTGATGTTTTACAGTTAAGGGCACACATTTATTGTTAAATACTACTTATTAGAATGAGACAGTTCAGATTCAATGTTTTCTCAATTTTTCATTTTTATAAATTCTGAGAAAATATTTTCACATTAATAAGTAGATGGAGGCTGGGTTTGGTGACACACACCTGTAGTCCCAGCACTTTGGAAGGTGGAGGCAGGTGGATCACTTGAGCTCAGAAATTCAACACCAGTCTAGGCAATATGGTGAAATGCTGTNAGGTAGTGAAAGGTTTTTTCCTCTTCTGTAATTTTCTCTGATTAGATGAAAGACCGATGTTCCTTAGGCACGGGCTCGATGGCTCACACCTGTAACCCCACTTTGGGAGGCCGAGGGAGGTGGATCACCTGAAGTCAGGGGTTCAAGACCAGCCTGGCCAACATGGTGAAACCCCATCTCTACTGAAAAAAAAAAAAAATTGCTAGGTGTGGTGGCGCATGCCTATTGTCCCAGCTACTTGGGAGGCTGAGATGGGAGGATCACTTGAACCCAGGAAGTTGAGGCTACAGTGAGCTGAGATTGTGTCACTGTACTCAAACCTGGGCAACAGAAGAGACCCTGTCTCAAAAAAAAAAAAAAAGTAGCTGGGCCTATAAGGAGTTTTGTCATTATATCAATGTCACTTAATTCTTTAAACTCCTTCTAATTGATATCAGTGATCTTTAGGTCATACTTTGTTCAAAGAGATTATTTGGAAATCATCTGACTTGCAAAAGAATTTGTTACCCAGTCATTAGAAGTATACATTCTCTAAACAGCCCAGTGTTTTAAATTTATAAAGAACTGGCAAAGATAGCTGAGGTTTTTACAACCCAGAGCAATGCCTGTAAGATTCTCAAATGTCTTTCCTTTTACAAATGGGAAATATACAGCTATTATGAAAGAGTTTGGAAAGGAGACACCTTGACCATACTCCTTTACCAGCAGATCAATTTTAGGAAAGAACATAGGTGTAAATCGAAGATTGAGAAACTGATAGCCTTTTTTTTTTTTTTTTTTTTTTTTGACAGAGTTTCTTTCTGTGGCCCTGGCTGGAGCACAGTGGTGTGATCATGGCTCATAGCCTTGACCTCCCCAGCTCAGCTCAGGTAATTCTGCCACCTCAGCCTCCTGCATGGCATGCCTAATCTCGTGTGTGTGTGTGTGTGTGTGTGTGTGTGTGTGTGTGTGTGTGTGCGCGCGCATGTGTGTCTATGCATGTATAAAGTCGGGGTTTTACCATGTTGTCCAGGCTGCTCTCAAACTCTCAGGTTCAACAATCTGCCTGCCTCAGCCTCCCAAAGTTCCGGCATTATTGGCGTGAGCCATAGCAGGAACTGGTAGCCTTTAAGCTAAGTGTCCATTTATCCCTTAACAATCCCATGGGGGATACAGAGCTCAGTTTGAAGACGGCTGATGTGAATTTTTACATCTTATTGAATTAGATGAGAGAGACAAGTCAGTTCAGGTTAGGCCTTGGTTAAAACATTGTACACTGTTATCTGTACCCTGGAAAAATATAGAACTGTGACTTATATGCTAGGGATAAAATAGCCAGTCCTCTTGGTTGGTTAATTTTCGTGGATGGTCAATCTTATGCTTTATACTTTATTCTTTTATATATTTTCTTCTCAGTGGCAATTACTTCAGTTTTGGGAATCTGATGTTGAGTGTAGTCTAATACTGACCACCTAAGGAAGTGCTATGCTATACTTAAAAGTGATTGACTGTAAAAACATAAGAAATGTTTAGAGTATAAAAGCAAAATATACAGTTAGTTGTATGAAAATTATTTCAATTATGCAAAACTACATAAACTTCTGGACAATACTATATGAAAATGAAGTTATAATTTTTTAATAAATATTTTTAGTGTTACATGGCTTCTAACATAGTGTTATTGATTACATTTATGATGCTGAGGGTCAGACTGTCTACTGTTAATATTTCTTGCTCCTAGTGGTACTAAGCAATTATGTGAGCTTAAGTTCCCTCAAACAAAGTGACTGAAGGTCCACTTCAAGAGGAGGTCCATTTTCAAAAATTCTATTTTCTCATCAGGATTCATTATGAGTGTTATTCCCCAAACACATTTAAACATTTTCATCCTAGTTTAATACAACCTAGGTCTTAGCATCACAAATTCCAGATGTTTATCAGCTGCTGTATGAGGAAGTAATTCTTTTCATTCATATATATAACCTTTTTAGCTTTCTTTTATTTCCCAATTTTATTATTCAGAGCTGAAGAACTTGACTTTACATTGCTCTTAGGGTTTAACCATTCCTCATAGCCTTTATAGATTTAGAGACTACTTTAAAAAGAGAGTCACGTTTGGCAGACTCCAAAACTAATCTCATTTTTTGAAATTCCGATCTCCTCTGTGTGTTCTGAGGTGTAATTACGAGCTTGGTGATTTCCAGGGCCCACCAAAGGAAGGACAGAAGACTAATCTGAGGGCCTTCACGTGTGTGAGGCTAATACCGGACCCCACCCAAATTTGGATTTTAGCGTCCTTGATTCCCACGTGTTGTGGGAGGGACCTATTGGGAGATAATTCAATCAAGAAGGCGGTTCCCCCATGCTGCTCTCATGGTAGTGAATACGACTCATGAGATCTGATTGTTTTATAAAGGGTTTCCCTTTTCGCTAGGCTCTGATTTTTTTCTTGCCTGCTGCCATGTAAGACGTGGTGCCCTTCCCCTTCTGGCATGATTGTGAGGCCTCCCCTCTCCAGCCACGTGGAACTCTAAGTCTGTAACAGCTTTTTCTCTTTATAAATTACCCAGTCTCGGGTATGTCTTTATATGCAGCGTGAAAACGGACTAACACACTACCCTTCTGGGGTCTCTGAGATGGAACCGAAAGATTCCCTAAAGGAGCACCCCGAAAACTGGAGAACAGAGAAGCCAGCGAGATCTCAGAACTCGATCTGCCTCGAGAGACTTGACGCGCACAGATCCGCCCCCTCGCAGCGCCCCGCCCCCTGGCACGCTGCACGCAGGCACGTCCTTCCAGCAGCTCGCGGCCCCGCCCCCCATCGCCCGGCCCTGGCCATGACGCCCCGCCCTGGCCATGACGCCCCGCCCCGCCCCTAGGCGGTTGCTGGCAGCGGCTGCCGCCCTCCCACTGCCCAATAGCGCGGCTGCAGTCTGTGATGTGAAGCTCTGCTCAGGCTTGTCCGGCCCCCGGCTCACAGCCTATTACAGCATCCGTCGCAGAAGCCGCAGCAGCCGGAGCCGATTTAGAGGGCGGGAGGCAGTTCGGGTGGCGGGGCGGGGCGAACAGCGCGCCCGGATTCATTCCTCTGGGTCGCGGGGCATGGAGGAGCTGTGCGGCCGCAGGCGGTGCTGGGCGGCCCGGGCGGTGGCGGGGACAACGGTTTCCCTTTGAAGGGGACGGCCTGAACCCGAGTGACCATCGGCGGCGGGGAGGACTAGCCCCCGGGCAGGTAGTGGCGGCGGCGGCGGCTGCCAGGGCTCGGGCCGGAGCCCTGAGGTGCCCGCGGAAGGCCTGGGCGGGAAGGAGGGCGCCGGCGAAGCCGAAGGCGGGCAGCGGGCTGGAGGCCACAGGCTTGGCCCTTCGGGAGCGGGTTGTAGTCGGTGGAGGAGATTGGGGAGGGGGCTGCCGTTGTCTGGAATAGGGCGAGGGGAGTGTTGTGTTGGGCGACTGTGGTTTGAGGAACCTGCGATCATCTCTTGGCGGGGGGTTGGGGTGATCAAAATGGGGCGGGCGAAGTTAATGGCTAAAAGGCAGGCGGATTTCCTGAGAGCCGTGAGTAGTTTTAAAGGAAAGAGAATTTTGCTAGGTGGAGTTTTGGCCTTAGCCGAGGTTTGGTGTGTCCGACCTTTTTGTTCCTTCTCAAAACCCGGCCTCAATGTGGCCTTCTAGCCTGGCGCCCTTGGCCAGCTCGCCTGCAGATGCAAGAAAGAGAAACATTTCTGAACCCGAGTTTCCTGCCTCTTTCGGTTGTACTCTCCCTGGGCGTGTGCAAAGCCAAACTAGAACAAAGCTTGGCTGATTAGAGCTGGAGGCGAGAAAACGGGCTGCCTGTAGTGTTTAAATTTTCCGCACATGGAGGAGACTGCCTGCCACCAAAACATTTGGGTCTCTGTACCTTCTGTATTTTTCTTTACCACCTTTTCTTTGGGGGCAGGGGGCCTTGGGACAGAGTAGTGCCTGAAGTTTAGCTTTTATTCCTTTCTTCCCACAGAAGTGGAATTAAGAAGTGTTTTGCCTTTACCTATAGAAAATTAAAAGCTGCTATTTTTTTTTTCTTTCTCTAGTTTGGTGCCGTTTGTCAGATATTGGAAGGCAGTAGGACGGAACATACTCTTCATGGTTGTATATCCGCTCTAGGGTGCAGCAATTAATATTGAACTTTGGTTCCTGTGACTCTTGGCTGTGTCGATAGAGTTAAGCTGGAGCTCTGCTTTGAAAGGTAAATAAAGCACAGCGTCTCAATTGGACATAAATGGATCTAAAGACAGCAGTATTTAACGCAGCTCGGGATGGCAAACTCCGGCTTCTCACCAAATTGTTGGCAAGCAAATCCAAAGAGGAGGTTTCCTCCTTGATCTCTGAAAAAACAAATGGGGCCACGCCACTCTTGATGGCCGCCAGGTATGGGCACCTTGACATGGTGGAATTCCTCCTAGAGCAGTGCAGTGCCTCCATAGAAGTTGGGGGCTCCGTCAATTTTGATGGCGAAACCATTGAGGGGGCTCCCCCTTTATGGGCCGCTTCTGCAGCAGGACATCTGAAAGTGGTCCAGTCTTTGTTAAATCATGGAGCATCGGTCAACAACACGACTTTAACTAATTCAACTCCTCTTCGAGCTGCGTGTTTCGATGGCCATTTGGAAATAGTGAAGTACCTTGTAGAACACAAAGCTGATTTGGAAGTGTCAAACCGACATGGGCATACGTGCTTGATGATTTCATGTTACAAAGGACATAAAGAGATTGCTCAGTATTTACTTGAAAAGGGGGCAGATGTTAATAGAAAAAGTGTTAAAGGTGAGTTCAGCTTCTTTGTTTTTCTACGTGTCTGCCACTTATTTTCAGGAAGTTCGATGCATAATTATAAGCATTGGTGTTGAGTAAACCAACATTTGACAGACCTTGTTTTGATTAGGTAAGTCTTCCAGTCTGACTTTGTTGAGTGTTTCTCTGATGTTTGGTAATACATTGAAAAAGTGTGATAAAAGACTTTTGTTACTCTGTTAAGCAGTATTTTCTCTCTTATTTGGAGTAACAAAATTCTTGGAAAATGGGTTCCCTAAAGTTACAGAGCATGTTAATGGTAGCTGAGCTGAGCCTTTAGGCTTTTACTTAATCTACATTAGTCTACATGGGAATATGGTTAAGTGTAATACATTTTTCTTAGTTTTTTTTTTTTTTAACAACCTTGGAGTAGAAACTACTATGTTTATTGAGTCATGGTCTTGTTTGTTCTAGGTAGTTACTTCACTTATTCTGTCAGAGAAGACTAGTCCAAACTGACCTGGAAGGATTAATATCAGTGGAAAAGGAAAAAATCTATTCCCTTATTCTATATTTGTTGTCAATAGATAATCCTTTTATAAGAACATGCATTAAATATAGCAAGAGAGAAAATACATTTTTAAAACCGCTTCAGTACTGAGAATGCAAAATAAGAACTAGATTAAACAGATGTGGATTTGTTGGCTAGCAACAGTGTAAACACCTTTGTCCAGAAAAAGGGCTCCAGTTTACAATTGTGTATAATTTTCGTTGATTGTAATCCAAAAGTAGCAAAAGATAGTTTAGAATTTTTCTTAACCCTTAAAAGCAACAGTCTTCATAGCATAATTTTGATACTTGAAAACCTTAACTTTCCCTAAACAAATCTATTTATACAATAGCAAAAAAATTTACTACCTAATTTTTAAAAGCTATTAAAATTTAAAAGTAGCATATAGACGTGTTTAAAAAAAAAAAAAACTGTAAATGATTTACAATAAAAAGTCTTATTCCTGATTTCTAGATCTCTAATGTGCTGACAACCACTATTTACAATTTTTATGTGTCCTTTTAGAGCTGATCTATGCAAATACAAGCAATCTTGTCTATGTACAAGCATACTTGTTTGTGTAGCCCTCCGTCTAGTGGTTGATTACATACTGTTCTGTCTTTATTTATTTTTCTAACTTGGATGTCATTCAACTTCAACACATATAGCTACCCCATTCTGTTTCATGGTGATACAGTATTTCATTGTATGAATGTACATAATTTTTCTGGTCTCTACTGGTCAATACTTAGGTCACATCCAGTACTTTGCTAATATAAACAATGCTGCTGTGAACATTCTTGAACAAAAATGTGTCTTTGCACATTTGTATGAGAATAACTAGTATAAATACCTGTGTTTAGAATTGCTAAATCAAAGTGAGTATACATTTGCAAATGTGATAGTGTCTGCCTTTCAGAAAGGTTAAACCACAAAATTATGGGGCACTGTGTAGTTACTGAGGATATTTACTGTACATAGTATGATCTTTTTAAAAAAGATTTGTTATAAAAATGATACAAAATCATTGTGAATTTTCTGAATTTTTTTTTCCAGAGGAAGTGTAAAAATCCCACAAAATTCCAGTACTCAGGGATAATAGTACTTCCAAAGATATTTCTGAATTTTGCATACAGATATATGTATGCAGTTTTATATGCTGTTCTATAACCTGTTTTTTAGCTTAATAAATATTATCTTTAAATTACTAATTATAGCTCTTTAATTTCAATAGCCGCATACTCTTCTACTAATGGAGTTTTATGTTGCTTCCGATTTTTCAGTATGATAAAAAAAAGTTTCTGTAAACATTCTTTCTAATAAGTGTTTTTGTTTGTTCCTGATTATCTTTAGGTGGCTTGGTAGATCAAATGACGGCATTTTTTTTTTCTTCAAACAATATTCTTTTGAAGAATGCTTGTTTTAAGAGAGCAAATTACTGCTGAACTAACCATGTTAATATTGGGAATGGTTTGAAATCATGACTGCTTATTTAGTTTTGAATTTTTTTGTTTCTTTGTTTTGGACTTTTTATTCATCAGCTTGATGTAGAAATTATTGATAAATTCATATTTAAGTCAAATTGGGGTATGTTTTAAACTCATGTCATTGGAGAGATGAGAACCGGTATTACTTCCCTTATATTTTTCAAAGCTTCTTTATATACTTTTGGAGATATATGAGAGAACTCTAATATAAATAGCTCATATTTTTTCAGCATTTTCTCCTGAGAAGCTGTAAACAGTATTTAACTTGATTACTTTTGAGCTCTTTCAGACAAATGGTCCCTTTGTCACCACTGTCATCTTATAGTCTTGTATGTGAGGGTGTGTATGTTCTCTCTTTTGGTCAAACTAATTCTAAGTCATTTTTTTCCCCAGTATCAATATCTAATATGTATATCTTTTAAAAACTACATGTAACATGAGAAAACAATTTCATTCCAAAAATTGTTTTCTAATAACTTCAACTTTATACACATACATGGTCTACTTAAAGATAAAATGCATGTGACTTCTACATTCCATTACTTTTAAACAGGCAATTGATACTTGAACATATTATTTAACCTCTTTTCATTACTTTTTAACAGGCTACTGGCATTTTGAACATGTTTTAACCTAAGGTAGAACTTACTAAATGAGAGCAATTGTTGCGTCCCTCAGTGTGCCAGGCTATTAGGATGTACAAAAAGGAATAAGACAAGATATCCAATCCTTGATTCCCTGCTCTTGAGGAGCTCATGGTTTGATTGGAGAGACAGGTTCATAAGTAGATATTTAAACCACAGTATGGTAAGTGCAACAGTAGTGCTTTCTTCTATTAGATATTTGGAAATACTTTATCCTTAACAATTTTTAACCTGAGGGGACAATGAGTTTCTTCTTTTCCAATGGCATTCCAAAAGGGAAAATATCTTTGAGATATTTAAGAATACTTCTTCAGTTTAACAGTCACAACAATTGATTTTTGAGACAGGAGCTGGTTCTTATTTAGGACTCTAGACTGCAAATCAGAAGTGATTAGGTGAGTCCTTCTCAGAGCTATCACAGTGATCTCAGTGCTTTGTGGTTATATTCATCTTTGGCTTCCTTTGGTTCTTCTGTTTGTGTTTTGGGGTTGTTTTGTTTTTGTTTGGAGTTAGAATAGAACTTTGCAGATCCAAAGTGAAGTCCTCTTGAATTCCACTTTTATACCCTAATTCTAATGGAAATTGGGCAGCTAAAGGTTCTTGATTCAGTACTACAGACCAGTAGAAAACTCTGTAGGCTCAAGATTTGGAGACTGGCTCTAGAAGACATTCTGTCCTCATTCGTGGGTCAGTCAGTTTAGATACTCAAAGTAATTAAGTAAATTGGTAATAAGGTAATTAACATGCATGTTCTGTAGGCAAGGCATTGTGTTGGACATTTTGGAGATTAGATGATACAGGGTGTCACATTTTTATCTTGTGAAGGAGTAGTATAAGCAATCTGTGTTACAGAATTTTGAGAAAGTGTACTGACTAGGATTACTTCATGGAGAAAGTAGAAGTTAAACAGGGCCTTGAATTTTGGTGTTTAAATCTGCAGACAGGTTGGAGTTTAGATCTGAAGAAAGTTTGTTGGGGTATAGATCTGCAGAAGGGTTTTGGTAGTTTTGCAGGTTTAGGAAATGGCGTAAGGAAAGGCACACTGAAGTATATGCTTGGAGGGTCCAGGAATTGGAAAGTAGGCATATTTGGACTAAAAGGCACTCAGGGCTGGATTTTAAAGGACGTTGAATCTCGGTAAAGGAGTTGGATTTTATTCTTCGTGCCAGTGATTCAGCAGAGGACTAACTGGAGTGGCTTGTTTGTTTGCTTATTTGTTTTCAGAGAAACTTACCTAACTGCATTTTACTACATCACTGTGACATCTAACTGCATTCTACTACATAGTCTTTGAGGCTAAAGACCTGGTGTTTTCATCCCATATACTGGGAAGAATATCTGACGCTAAATGAGCTTGTTGAGTGGACATGTTGGATTTAAGAGAGGAAAGATTATAAGCTCCTTGTTGGCAAGCACTATGTTTTATAGGCCTTTCTGTATGGAAATAAATACATGCATGAAGACTTGAAGTAACAAAGACAGTAGTTGACAAAAGTGACTGGCACAGGTAGAACTCTATAGGAGTTCAGAAAAGGGGAAAATACATGTAGGAGTGTAGCAAGGATAGCTAGTATTAAAAGGGTTTGAGAGAGCTAGTTCAGACAGTTTGCCTTTTCATTAAGGAAACTTTCTAAATTTCACACACAGAGAAAATACATTGAACCGCTATGTATCCATCATTTTACTTCAACAATTATCCATTTGCTAAAGTTAAAAAAAATGTTTCTACTTTCCTTTTGTTTTCTCTAGAAGTTTAAAGCAAATCCAGGGCTTTATATTACTTCTCTCTCATAATATAGGCATTTAGAGTATAGATGTGTTTTAGTCAAGGAAATGCTAAAGAAAAATGTTATTTAATTCCTCACTGTAAATGTACAAGAATCTCAAATGAGAAAATCTCCCTTGTAAACTAAAAACTGTTGGTATTCAAATAGATTAAGATAATGATTGCTGTCATGGAAGCTAGGTTATTTTAGCATACTTTAGTGCTTTCTGAGTGTTGGAAGCTGAAGTTCTCATTTCCTTCTTGACTCTTAGCTGTTGGTTACCTCAGCATACCTACTTTCAGAGAAAAATACAAGGGGGAAGGGAAGGACTTAAAATTGTATCTACTGCATAATATATCTGTATGTATTTTGATTGAGTAATGATGTTTAAATAACTTACTACTTGAATTCGTTAACATTTTAATCCCAAATTATGAAGTTACTCCTATAAGTTGTTCCATATTCATTCTTTTCCTTCTTATATCCCCAGCACACTTTTCTGTGTCCTTGGGAAGACTTGGTATCCTAGTTGGATAAACTAAGCCGTAGATGGTGTGCAAATTGAGTTTAGTAGGGAAATATCTAT